GCCGGGCCAAACCGAACCGGTGGACCCGCCGGGCCACGGGCCGGGCCGGGCCAAACAGTGACCGGGCCGGTTCGGTCCCGGGTCGGGCCGCCGGCCCGAGTCCAGCCCTAATCACTGGCGTCTGTTGTCACATGGTCGCACCAGTGGAGTTAGGTGCTCCTCACCTGACGCGAAGAAGCCCTCTCCTGAACGAAGAATAAAGCTCACGCAGGAAAGAATGTCAATGGGGGCAGAATACTGTAATGATATGGGCATTTTGGTCTTTTCATTTAAATTTAGTCATATATCCGTCCAAATGAAAACTGCTCCTGTTTTTGTCCCCCGAGAAGCTAGGAGTTCTACTTCCGTCATTATTTCATTACAAATTATCATCCATTTCCTAATCCGAAAACTCATCTTCATGACTCATCTTCATGATTGACAGTCTTTGTAACTCTTGGCAAACTTCGAAGTCTGATTGCATTTGTCTTGTTTCAATTTCGTGTTTCAGCAAGTTCATCCATGTATATCTAGTATCCAAAGTGCATTTCTTGAATCGGATCATTTTTAGATTGTCAAGTGAAATATATACTTTTTCTTATTATCAACCAAGGGTGAGTGCGTGAAACTAATTAAAAATCTCCCAGAGGTAATTAACTTACATGCAACGTATCCACTTGTAAAATACCAAAATGAACTCGAATAAATCGCAAGGAGTGATCCATTTAAAAAAAAAAACTCAAAACTGAGAAAACAAGTTTAGTAAACCAAATCAAATAAAAAACACAAACTCAAACACTAAAAATCCACAATTTACTTGGAAGCTTACAGTGCAAGAGGACAAAATCAACAACAATTTCAAAAAGTAGAATTGGACCATCTTGAGATCAGTGGTGATACGCACTCTTGATGAACCAGACCAAAATTCCCGCATGATGATGTCCCTAGTATTTTGGTCCATGTCTACATGAGTTGCAGAAATTGTATGGTGACGGCCACGCATTTTGTCAGTGTTAACAAACAAGGATGACACTCTCGGTGATGGCCAATGTCTCATACAGATCGCAAAGTGTTTCAAGCTTCCAGTCCTCTTTGTCAGCATTGACATAGAACTGTTTGATACCTTCTAGTGTGAGCTCATACCCTTTCACAATAATCATGAGAGGCTTGTTCATGAACTTTCCGGTGATTTCAAGGGCATCTGGGGGCATAGTAGCAGAGAAAACACCAACCTGTATCTTTGGTGGTAACAGCTGGAAAATATCATAGATCTAAAAACAAAAACAAGCAACACAAACATTAGTTTCTATTGCCAATAGGACAAATGTTTTAATCAACAGTGTCAGCACACTTAAAGTATGCATTTTGAATAATAATCACTATACATATTGGCATATTGCCAATACAATAATACTATGAACACAAAAACATGAAATAAAAATATATAATAATATAAATAAAAGCGATGAATGAAAGAAATTAATTTTTCGTATTGTGAATTTGTGATTAAATCAAGTACGGGTCAAATCACATCCGCCAAAAAAGGAAAAATGATCAAATAAGCCCTTCAACTATCATGAATCCATCACATAAGTCCATCTACTAATAAAAGCACCATTTATAACATTTACTTCATAAAAACAATCATTATGGTCACAGTTACCAGAATGCAACCTTTTTAGCTGGTTAACGCTCAGACAACACATTTACTTTTTTTTTGCATTCTTTTTCTTTTCTCGTTTCTTTTGTTCTTTGTTTGTACTCGTTGACTCATTGTCATTTCGTCCCAACAAATTTTTCCTTTCATCTTGTAACTCAATCTCTCCCTCAATATGCATATAAACTTTTCTTGTCCTGCTGTCCGGAGTCCGTCCAGAAGAAATAAGAATTGATTGTCCAATAGAATGAGCGGTTATGATAAAACAAGCTAGAGTGGGTCTTAGATACTCTATGTCTTCTCTATTCTCGTTCATAATACTCCATAATATGCAAGAGCAAGTCTAAACCGACACCTTAACCCAATACCATAGCAGCATTTAGCTAATCACACACATACAACTTTAAGGCAAGTAGTGATAGCATTAAAACATAATATAATCTAATAACTGTAATAGCAAAAACCACTAATAACTATAAAAGTAAAAACCTCTAAAGCAATAAACAGCAAATTGTCTTCATCCCAATAAACATGTGGGATGAAGACTACAATATGAACACTATATTGTCTTTTAATGGTCAATCTTTGTATTAGTTAAGCTTTTGACAAACTGTTCAAGCACAGCAAATTAAAAAGTAACTATTTTTAAATCGATCTATTCCCTGCTATTTTAGCTTAACTGAGGATGTTCGCAATCAGATAACTAAATTGTTTTGGGAAGCTCTTCCACAACTCTATAAGAAGTCAATGTTATATACTTTCATTAAGAAAATAGTATGATGCATCAAACCAGCAACTGATCCTATTGTTTAACTTGAGGCCGTTGCATAAGCAAGCTTTAAAGTTTAAACTCAGCTATTCAGTACGACATATGTTCATATACATAAAAAAAACTTATCACTTATACTTCATATTTTATATTTGAGTACCTTGATAGGCAATATTCATCATTTTCATTTACCCCAGTGCCGCACCACCTACGGTGGGGTAAGGGGCTTGATAGGCAATATTCTTGGAGGAAATGTTGTCAAACTTTTAAAATAGTAGACATGTCATAAGAAATTCACAGTTTTCAAACATGTTTCAGTTTAAGTGAGAATTAGATTTTTCCTTAAAAATAGTTTGGATGTAAATTAGCTAGCCTGTAGCAGTAATTTATAGCAATTATAGCAATCATACCAATATACGAAATACGTAGTATTCAAAAAGCTTGATTTCAAGTCAGCAAAATGCATTTGCAAGACTTTTCCAAGGATTTCACCCACTCCAAGCATCACAAGCTTTCAATAGCAATTACCATCATAAAACTTTTGAAATAGCAGACAACTCATAATCAATTCATTCTTTTCAGACAAATTTCAGTGTAACTGAGAATTAAATTTTGACATTAGAATAAACGGAAGCAATTAGGGTTTTTCGTTTAGTTTTATAGAACCTCAGAATAAAAAGGTTTAATCTTACTAGGTAGCAATTTTATTGATGTAGGAGCTGCTTGAATTGAACGAACACTTCTTCTCTTGGTCGTAAGCTGAATTCCGACTTAGAAAAATTCCAGAACCGTCCAAAAGATAGAGATGCTGCACTCGGCTTCGCCAAGCGATTATTGGTCAGATTTCTAATCTGGGCGGAGGTGAATTCCCGACCGGATTTGTTTGCGACCTGGTAGAAGTAAAGAAAAATGAAACGATGCAGACCATTGGAATTTTCCGGAGCCGAGTCCTGACAGATGAAAAAGCCGTACCAGAATTTTCTATTGTACAGGCCTCTCTAATCAAATTTCTAATTTTTTAGATGAAATAGCTTACGTGGAATGTCATCCAATTATATTTTGACATATGTGGAATGCACGAAAACATTCTACAATGAGAATGCACCAGAGAGCCACCATAAATTCTAATGTACCGTAGCTTTTCAATCTGACGTAGAAGAGTTTCAAGGTGACATGAATTCTAATCTAATTTTTAATTTTAACATGAATTCTAATTTAACTGTAACTCTAATCTAAGGTACTGCGTACTACAATTATAATTAATTAATTAATATACTCACATAATGTTAAATCAGAAAGAGATTTTAAAATATTCTAATGAATGATTGCTTAGAGGATGACACCTGGCAAAACTTTCCATAATTGTATCTTTGAAATGTATTACTTATAGATTACTTATAGATAGATAGTATTACTCCTAAATGAGATCAAAAGTAGCCCAAAATTCCACAGTAAGATTATACTCCCCCGTCCCGTTTTTTAGTTCTTACTTTGACCCTCACACATTTTTAGTAATTAAATTTGACTTTGCTGTTTAGACACTGTTTAGACACTATTTGACATTGTTTGGCACTGTTTTGCATTGTTTAACACTGTTTTGATGTAGGAAAACTTTCCATTTAGGGAAATGAGAAGATGATGTTGGGACGTCCCAAAAAGGAAAGAAGGAAGTTAATAGTGGGACGGAGGTAGTACTTCTTTTATTCTCAAAATAGGACTAATATATGTCTCTTCTGTCTATTTTAACCCAACCTATAATTTCTAATAGATTTATTTATAAAGAAAAAAGAGATATTACCCGAAATAGGACTAAAAAGGTTTGAAAATTCCAAAATAGGACTATCATGTTTTTATTCCCAAAATAGGACTAATTACTGTCATGTTTTGGCAGTACCAGATTTCAAACATGGCAGTATTTTCCAAACTTGACAGTAATTACTCCTATTTTGGGAATAAAAAACATGTCAGTCCTATTTTGGAATTGTCAAACTGTTTTAGTCCTATTTCAGGAATTTTCCCATTAAAAAATCATAGCTCTTTATCATAAACACATAAAAAACGTGGTAATTTTTTCATAAATTAATAAAATCGTGAAAATAAAATAAAATATAAAAAATAAAATCCATTATAATCTAACAGCAAAATGAAGGGGGGCCTGCTTTTCCCGCTCGGAAATGTCACTATCGGAAGTCCATGATTTACAGCTAATTAAATGAAGGTCGATAGAGGTTTAAAAAATGATCTCCTGATTTAGAGCTGATGTAGAGATAAAATTGCTTGAAATGCGTGGCTGTAGGTAGTCCAGTTACTGTTTGGATTTCCTGCGGATCTTCTAATGGATTGATTTTTCATTGGTCAGTTTTTGGAGGTGAGCTGTCGAATAGTGCTTTTGGATATCTCCAAGATTTTCCAATCACGTAACTTGATTTTTATTGGCTGCTTTGCAAGTAAACAGTGCCTATTAATGGACAAGTGGCGGGATAATGAGGGAAACACTCTGGACGGATATTTTGAACAAGATCACACAAAGTTTGAAATTCAAAAAATTGAACAGTTTCCCCCCATTTCATTCAGGGGTTTCCAATTGTTGAGGGTGTGATGCACAACATTTTAAGTGGGGAGTGCACATGGTTCTTTATCTATAAATAGGGCAACATTGGTGTTCCAATCTTCACAGCTCATAGCCTGCAAAATACACAAAGCACAAGCATTCATTCTTAAACATGGTTGGTATGTGGTCCTTATTCCGTGAGATTGACCAGACCAAGACAACATGGGCAATCAAAGCAAGGGCAATAAGGGTGTATCGGGAACCTGCTCATGACTGCTTCCCAGAATCATTGGAGGTTGTTTTCCATGATGAAGAGGTCTGAACATTTATAATACAATCTCATGTTCTAATATATTTTCGATCAGGTTCTATGTTGACATTTTGATAAATTTCAGGGGTCCAAGATGCATGCGCACATCCCAGACCAGTTCATCAACAAGTTCATTGGCATCTTTAAGGAGGGATGTGTGTTTGCAGTTAAAAACTTCATGGTTGAGGAGAACTACATGTTCTTTAAAACTTCAACAAGTGCCTATAGGCTCTGTTTTTTTAACAAAAGTGCTACGTTTGAGATCAGGGGAGTACCATTCCCCATAAGAACTTTCTCATTGGTGTCTTTTGCTACATTGCAAGCCCAAGACAACATAGATGAGAAATGTGGCATTGGTGCGCTTAAAATAGACTTTTACAAATGTTTATTAAAACTAAATATGACTGCATGGGATCCACTGATATCGTTCTTCTATCCAGACCTTATAGGCCAGGTAGTGCACGACAAGGACCCAAAAACAATTTTAAAGAATGACAGGCCCAGAAAGTTGATGGAGATGGTTCTGGGTGACCCAGAGTGAGTTGTTTTTCTGCAAATTCACCTTGGCCTATAGAACAGTGGTTTAAATGTTCCTTTGAAATTTATATAAAATAAACATCATAAACATTTTTTGTAGTGGAAATGTGATCGCATGTACTCTTTGGGGACCGATGGTTGAGATGCTCTTGACGCACAAGCTGACAACATCGGATCCAATTGTAATGCTACTGCAGTGTTGCAAAGTTAGGAAGTACCAAGGTTATCTTAACACATATCCCCCTTTAAGTGACTTTTGACTTTTGACTCAAATATCTAACACAACTAGAGATTTAAATTAGGTCAAATTCATGTCTCGAACATGTTCAACACTACCAAAGTCATTTTAAACGGGAGTGAGGAAGAATTTGTTGAATTCAAGTCAAGGTATTTGATTTTGTTTTAATTGATCTTTACTGATTCCAAAAGCAAAAAACAGCTATCCATGTCATTAACCAGGAAAAATAAATTCAGGATGGCTGAAAGGTCTAATAAGGGACTTAGGTTTTCAATAACAACGGACAACTCAAATGATGTGGACATAGCCACTGGGCAACAAGATTTAATCACTATTGAGGCTCTTACAAAATTGCAAGAGGCAAGTGTATTTTAATTTTAATTTGAAAGAGTTGAAAAATACATTTTCACTTAGTTTTCTGAATGATAAACAGGATGGGAAGCACTGGGTTTACGGAGAAATTGTGGCTATAGACAGCCATAAGGACTGGTCCTACGTTTCTTGCATTGGTTGTAACCGGAAAGTTTCCCCCAACGGGGATAGCTTTTGGTGTGTCTCCTGCAGTTCAAATGATGCTGTTCTCAGGTTTGTGGTCTACCCACTAATTTGTATTTTAAGACCCATTCCGCATAATTACCAAAAATGATATTTTTAATGGAATCAGGTTTAAGGTGAACGTTCGGGTGGTTGATGGCACAACACATGCCTCATTCCTTCTTTGGGATAGGGAGGTGTCATGTTTGCTGGGGAAGTCTGCCGCATCACTTAAGGAACAAATATCTAGGGTATGGGTGCATCCTAAGACTATTTTCTTGGCTTATTTTAATGTTGAACTAAGCTACAAATTCTTGCAGAGGAACTTCGGACCACATTACTTCCCATCTGAGATAAATTCACTCATTGATATAAAGGCTTTGTTTAAAGTGCAATTCAAAAGGGAAAGCAGGAGTTTTAAAGGAAATCAGACTTTCAGCGTTATAAAGATGAACACTGATCCCAAAGTTCTGGCACTTTACTCATCTAGGATAAATGCTGTTGAGGTATGATTTTATTTCAAATTGCGAATTGGATAAAAAAAGTTCTCTACAACATTTTTTATGACTTCTACTTTCAGGAGGAAGATGAGTTCACAAGACTGGCTAAGGAGTTTTCAGGGCCTGAAAGCATGGTATTTTCTCTAGATATTTGGTTAAATCCTAGCAATAAATTTTGCTAGGATGTGAACTCAATTTTTTTATGATTTCAGGCTGGATCATCACAGCTATCTGTGTCCAGCCCACTGCTAACCAAGGAGAAGAGGTACGCCTTGGATGTGGACACTCAGAAGCTGAAATGCAACCTGTTTGGAGAATTTGAGGCTTCAACATCTACCAAGAAGCTCAGGGGGGTGAAAAAGGAATGAAGATTATGCGTCAATCTATGTTTACTAGATATGTTGACTATGTTATGTGTGGCAGTGTTTATCTGTGTTTAATCTAATGTGTGTACAATAAGGGCAACTGTTGCTCACTACTCCCTTGACCCTGTAGGGCTGGGTTCCGCCAAATGTCTGGCTGTTTGACATGTTTTTAGGCTACAGACTCGGCTATAAGAGAGTACCGATAATATGTAATGGTGACGCATTTCTATATAAAATATTTTATTGATATAGACCCTTTGACTATTGAGTGTTTGGTTGTTTGTGTGAGAACTCTTTTATCTTACTTCCTTCTGTGCCTAACTAATTGGCCATTTGGATAGTTTGGCAGAACATGGTTAAAAAATTTCGTTAAAACATTTTTATACGTTCTCACAGCTAATGGGTTCTGCGCCTTTTGGGTATGGGTTCCATAAGCAAACGTAATTTTTAGTGAATAAGTTATTGTTTGGTGTGCTTTGGAAAAGTATGATTTATGTGTTTAAATCTATGCTTTGCATGGAATGTTTGAGCATATTTGGTTTGTTAATAATGCAACACGTATTAACATTAAGATAACGAGCAAAGTTAATGAGGACGTACCTGTTATCTCTTCGGGATGACCATGTGTTGCCCTACATCTACCCTAAATCTATTTATTACATTTACAGACCCAGGAATAAAACTAAATTAAATAACAAAAAAAAGATGATAGAGGGATCCTTCAACGGCCAAATTTGGGTAGCAACCAGTAAATTCCTGCAAGTCCAGAGTGTGAACCGGCATTAGAAATGAGCAATGGTTCCAATCGGTGTATGTAAATTTATGTTTGAATTCTTCAAAGAATAATAAGTCATGAGAGAGGTGCAAGACAAGAAATGGATTTTATCAGCCAATATCCCAAATATCACCCCCCTGAATTGCTGGCATATCTAAGGCAATTAGTTTCACCTAGGCAGCTCTTATTATGACTTTTTTTAAATACAAACATTTGAGGTCTGGCACAATAGGATTCACTCTTGCAGACTTGATAATAACTGTCCATATCAATACTACAAATTTTATGTCATGAGAAAGTTGCAAGACAAAAAAGGGATTTTATCTGCCAATATATTCTATTTCACCCCCCTGAATGCGTGGCATATGTAAGGCAATTAGTTTTATCTTGGCAGCTCTTATTATCGCGTTTTTTTAAAATATAAACATTTGCGGTCTGGCACAATAATATTCACTATTGCATGATTCATAATACCTTTCCAACCTAATACTACAGATTTTAATAAACATGATTTGAAGTAAACAGTTCTGTTTGAAGGGGGGCCGAAATAATAAGGTGTGAGAAATGTGCAACCCAGAAAGAACATTAGACCATACACTATCCCATACATCACCCCCGTGATTGGCTGGCATATGTAAGGCAATTAGTTTCACCTGGGCAGCTCTTATAATCACATTTTTTTAATATTCACTTTTGCAAACTTAATAATAGATGTCTATCCTTATACTACAAATTTTTTTAACATGTTCTTTGGTAACAATTATAAATACTGTCAATTGTAAGAGCGCATGGCCGGTAAGTGTTTAATCCCCAAATTTAAACATGTTCGCCAATGCATTAAATGATTTTCAGAGCATATCTGGCCCAGAATTAGAGGGGGATTTGACTATTTTTACGATTTTTATATTGATGATGAATAATGTAAGATACATACATATGTAGTTATTTGAAAATATATTTTTTCCTAATTTTAACAATCTGAATTATACTCATCCGCGCATTTTTTATATAGGAACGTATAAAATAATTTTGAAATGATGTGGACCGAATTTATTCATTTGAAAAAATTAATTATTTGTTAAATCTATGTCTGGGCTTTTGATTTTTTAATTGGCAGATGGGTTTCTTTATTGTACCCAAATTAAAACATGTTCGGCAATGCATTACATAATTTTCGGAGCATCTCTTGCCCAGAATAAGAGGGGGATTTGACTATTTTTACGATTTTGATATTAAGGATGAATAATGTAAGATACATACTTCGGTCGCAAATTTGAATTTAAATGTAGTTATTTGAAAATATTTTTATTCCTGATTTTAACAATATGAATTATACTCATCCGCGCATATTTGATATAGGAATGTATAAAATTATTTTGAAAGGATGTGGACCGAATTTATTCATTCAATTTTTTTTTCATTATTTGTTAAATCTATGTCTGGCCGTTGGATTTTTTAATTGGCAGATGGGTTTCTTTATTGTACCAAATATTTTCTTAGAATTAATAAATTCAGGGGGGTACAGAAAATATTGAAAACACTGGTGCCCAGATTTGGAGAGTTTAGTTGTGCGGTAAAAATTTGTACACATCGCACAAAATCTTCAAAATCTCACTCTGGAAATTGTGCTTTCACATGATTGGTTGGGTTTAAAATGGTCAATAGTGCTCTTGGAGAACGAATGGTGTTGATTTTGGGTTAGTGGGGATAATGATTGTGTTTCACTGTTTTTTGGTTAAATTTTTAGTAATGCCATACCATTGCACCACGTATTAACCCACTATAAATACCACCTCATTATAAACATTTACCATGGTGAAAAAATTGATTTCTTCCTCTGTGAAAGTAATTGGCTTCACTTCTTCACTGTCCTGTTTCTTCGCTCCTACATCAAGATGTGTAGAGTCAAAGGTCAATAACTCCAACTCTGCTTATTGAATTGCTTTTAATTATATAATATAATAAAAAAAATCATCAAACATATTTATACTTAAAATAATGGTGTAATTAGTTTATGTTCAATCGGTCTCCTTTTTTTAAGGTATTAATATATTGTGAGGATGACAACCACAAGAAATATGAGTCATTTTTGAGTGATTTAGGTGGAGGTTTGGATGCTGGTGGTTTCATAAAACAGTGTGAAATCTGTTATGCATTGGGACATGGTGGCGACATGTTCAGCCTTGGGTGTGCATGTAATTTGTGGTACTGTCGTCGCTGCGACGCCTTCTACGGTCTCGGGTTTCTGCGTGAGGGAATTCCTTTCACTATGCTCTCACCCGCGGTTCTTTCGCGTAGATTCGGTGCTCATAATCTCCAGTGGTTCGTCGAAGGTGTTGGGGAGTCTTCGGTCGTTAAAAGCACCTGTGTGGGTGACCAGGTTCCCCCACGTCGTTCCGCACGTGCTGTCCGTTTGAATAAGATGTACTTTGGGGGAGACTTTGTTGTTGAATCTGATTTCGGCTGGCTGACTACAGCTTAATGACCTCCTATGTTGGGAATAATAGGTGGATTATGAACCTAAAGTTTGCCTGGCTGACTGCAGCTTAATGACATGCTCTATTAGGAATAATAGGTGGATTATGCACCTAAAGTTTGCCTTATGTTGCCTCTACTTATGTGGAACACCCATGTATTTTGCCCACCCATCTAAAATATGAAATAACACTTATGTGTGATGCCTGTGTAGTTTGCCCTCTCATCTAAAAGCAAAAAATACTATGACATTTTGCAAATATTTTTTGTCCTTAATATTGTGTTATTTCTTTTTGTTCATAACAGACATCTTTGTGTACTCACGCAAGTAAACATGTTCTTAGGTAATTGATGCCAGGTTGAAGACTTTAGTTATGGTTAAGATAACTAAATCATGTGTGTTGGGTTCCAAAAGATCCAACCCAGGTAAATTCTCACAGCAAATAAAGCATTATAATGTTCAAGTACTAAGTGTTAGGCATTCTACCTGGCATTCTATTTATACATGTTAACATAAAAGTATTTGATTTAGAGTTGTGGTTTCTTTATGTATCTTGGGAAAAAAATTGGTTATTGTTTTCACTGTGTGCGTTAAAGTCAGTCTTACTTTATGGTGAAATTTTTTTGATCAATGGAAGGTGCTACCATTTACGCATCCTTCCTGACCTCTGTTTACCGGCAGTTATAAACAGAGGGTGTAACCGTTAATTACTTATGTATATTTGAAAAATATAATGTCTGTGTTGTAATTGTGATGTGGTTCTGACCTTGACTTTTAGGGTACGCCTTCGGTGCCCACTCTGTTGTGTGTTTGGCGCTTGAAAGTTAATTTATTCTTCATTCCATTATACATATACAAGAATACTGTTAATAGGTGATATGTTAATAGGTGATATGTTGTTGGTATGTCTTTATAAATATATGAAAATGTTACCATACCTAATGAGGCAAGAATTGGTGATGATAATTCATTCTCCTTTTAACGGTCCCAAACCGTTGCGACAAAATTTAGTTGTTAGTAATTAGTAAAGTAATTCCCCATAGATGCATATAAATAAATAATGACAGATCAATAATTGATGAGAAATGGTTTTAAGGAATAACTTATTACCAATTCTTCTTTGACCGTGCGCATAATGTCTTCTTCATTTTCTTGATATCTGTTGTTGTACAGAATGAAAAAAGGGTGAACCTTATTAGGCTAATGTTTTGAGGGGGGAATAACAAAAAAAAAATCTGGGTGAAGGTGTTACCTGTGCTGTTAATAGCCAGCTTCAGTGATGCGTTTCTTAGACGCTTTGGTGTTGTTCCTTTGACCCATTTCCTCGCATCCCATTAAAGATAAAGAAAAGATTAAAATTTAGGAGGTTGTGGAGGTTTCGGGTAAGAAATATTAACACGGGATTTTTCATACGTAATAGGCAGTAGCTAATAAATTTTGATTCTTAGTAAAGCAAGATGTTTATCTTGGTTTTGTCATGTGAAAGTGGGTGAACGGTGGAGTGGTTCTAAATTATTGATGCTGTTTGTTCTTATCATTTAAAAAAGATGAAGCAAAAGTTTGGATCTGCTAGGGATATGGTTTGGAGTTACTAGGCATTAAAGTCTGATAGGTGGGGCGGTGGGATTAGTACAGTTTGGGTATTAAAAGTTAGGTGGTTGGCTTTTACAGATTTGAGTGGGTGGTGGTTCGGTGGATGAGGGTATTAAATGATATCTGAGTGGGTGGGTTGTTCGCACTTACTGTTGTGGGTGGGTGTTTGAATTTTAAAACCTTTAATAAAGGAGGTGGGGCTGTTGCATTTAATGCTTGGTCGGTAAAGTGGTCTGGCCCAGACTTTCTTTTTGACTCTACATCCTTCTCCATTTAATTATGGGGTACTGCCAAAATCTGAAAATACGATTATGCTAAAAAAAAAGGATTTAAAATTTTTTTTTGGAAACAATATCGAGTTTAAAATGCTGTTTTTAATTTCGTAATAAATAATTTAATGAGAGTGGTTTACTAAACAAATCGACTGCATGTTTATTTTGCAATGATTAATTTTTTTTCTTTTAACTGTTATGTCTTCAATGTATGTGACTATAGTATGATTAAAATTTTTAAACACAAATGGAAAATCAAAGCTGATGATATCTACCAATTCGATTTTAAAATATAATGGTATTTTGGTTAGATGTCATCGATGCGGACGTTGTGTGTCAATAAATTAACGAATAAAATCAGTTTGGACTGCGTAATTAAAATTACCTTTTTCTAAGAAAAGAAAATATTATTTTTCTTATCCAGTGCTGTATACCCGTTTTGTAGCACTTTGTGAAATATCGTAGGGAAAAAATTTTTCACTGAAAGGGATTGTTTCTGTGGTTTTTGAGTTCCTTTTTTATGAATCAGTGTAGTTTATTCAAAACAGAGTTTTCGTGTTATGAGAACTTGATAAGGGATCTGTAAGAGATATTTAAATAAAAGGTCTGTTTATAAAAAATAATCGAATCTCCAGATCTGATCGATTTTTGCTACGGAATACTCCATATAGCACTAAAGATAAATTCACCGCTGATGTTTTGCTCACACAAACAAATAAATATTAAAACTATAAGATCTGAAGGATTTGTGTGTTTTTTCGGTAAAAAAACGTTTTTGTTGTGTTTGTGAGTAAAAGAGGTTGTGTAGGTGTGTTGTGTGTGCGTGCATGTGAGGGATCGGGTAGACGACGGGTAGGTGTTACCTGTGTTTCCGGTTGTTGACCGTCGAGATCCATGGCCTTTCTTGGTGCTTTCCGTGGTTTGTGTCATAGCTATGGTTTTCCGGAACTGTATTGGTGGCCGGAGTGCTGTTTATGAGGTCTGAATCCATTGCATGTGGTATCTCTTGAAATCTTGAGGGTCGTTGAAGAGAGAGGGAGGACCGATGACTTCTGCAAGTCGGCGAAGTTTTAGGGCGAATCTGAGGGAATGAGGATGTGGCGTACGATATTAAGACTGGGTTAAATGGGCTCCGGATCTTTATTTCGTTTGGCCGGCCCATCCTTTTTCATCTCATGTTTTGCAACCATTTAGTTTTGGGCCTATTTTATGTGCTTATAGGAATTAAGGAATTATTGGTATTTTTCCAATTTGATAATATTGACATTTGCTTTTAATAATTTGTGATTTTTTTTGGGGAAAAAATATTTATATTTTTATTTTGATGGGGTGTGAGATGAATTCCCCAGACTTCATTTTTGTATTTAACATTCCGAACTTAATATAAGAAATAATATTTGGACCCTGATCGGGTAACATTAATCAGAATATATAAATTTATTTAGCAGATTGCGTAACTAAAATAAATTAATTTTGTGAAGACATTATTAACATTATGGAGTTCGGTTTCATGCTATGTTAAAAAAACCGACCCGACCCGGCCGGATTGACCCGAAACCCGGTGACCCGGACAAAAAACCGGTTCGGTTTTTTCAAAACCCGAAAATGGTCAAAAACCAGAAAAACTCGGCTGACCCGGGAAAACGCGGTCAAAATCCGGACCCAAGAAACCCGAAAAACCCGGTAAAACCCAGTTTTTGGGTGTATTTACCAAAAAAAGTAATTTCTTTTTTATTTTTAATGCATTTTTTATATCAATAAAATTGCAATTTCAATACCTTAAAAAGAAAAACTACGTAATATATTTATATATATATTTAAGAATAAACATCATGCCAAATTATAATATAGATGTACAATAAAAATAAAAATATCATTATATATTTTTATAAGATCAAAATATACATTGAAATATTATAAGAGTGTATTAAATGCTTAATAAGTAGTATTGTAAGTTGATTATTATGAATAATAACTAATTTTTATTATAATTTTATATATAATTATATGTTTACTATTATTATATAGACGTATAATCATTGACCGGTTTTCCGGCGTTGACCGGGTTGACCCACCGGGTCCGGGTTGACCCGTGACCCAGTCATGTGGCCGGGTCACTCTCCGGTCCGGTTTTTTATAACACAGGACTTTCATGACGAATAATTTTATTCATGACTGGATTTGTCATTTCCACACTTTTTTTTAATTATACATTTCTCACCATGGCTTTATAACATATAATGATATTGTAGGTTAAATCCGTGTTACAACCTGTCTTTGTTTCGGGTTTGGGGTGTTCAAAAAATATACGGTTTTCGTTTGTTTGTTCATTTCTCTTATTTATTTGCAGTTAATATTGACGGGGTTAAATATATTACTGTGTATCATTATATATCATTAATTTCTTAAATATTCTATTGTTTTTCTATTTGGCATTGCTTTCTTCGAATTTGGGGTGTAAATATGCGAAAATTGTGTATTACTTTTTTGAAACACAATTATTCATTCTTTGGACAACCACAATGTTTTGTTTAATGATTTCGGCTTATGGTTAGAGGTTACCAAATTTGATTTAAATACCATTTATGCTAAGAACTATGGTTGATTTGGTCCCATTTAATTATGGATCATGTTTAGTTCATATTAATAGGAACTTGATTATTTAAAATATAATTGTTGAAGTAATGTTTTCATCATGTAATATTCCATTAAAGATGAAGGTTTCATTTAAAGGCTTAATTTTTTTATTCTTTTCTTGGGTGTGTAATTGGGTAGCCGTTTCGGATGGCGAAGGAATGATGCCGCCTGCAAAGCAGCCTCAGCGTAATCCTGTGTGCTCAACCTCGGGCATTTTTATTGGTTCCATGGAATCAGGGGTAGTATGGAACAACACGGACACATATTTCAATCGTGGTAGTGTTTAAAACAATTGTCAATGCATTTTTGCTTATTTTCTAATTTGATCTGACTGCTATTTTTTTGTAAGATAGTATTCTCACCTATCTGTGTTACTGATGTTTGAATGGTGATTTATTTAGGATATATAGGTTCGGAGCCTTGCAGTGTCAATCCTAATGCTTCGAGTTCTGCCCCATCAGTTTTGTCACCTATTGCTGATTTTGATGTAACTTCGCTCGATGACAGTGATGTGGATGATGAGTTTGTTGACTATGAGGCGTTGCCTGCTCATACTAGCCGCAGGGCTGTAGGTGTGCATGAGTCAATTATTTTTCCTGTTACAATTTCTCCATACGTGGTTACTATGCATTGACCATTGTTGTTTTTTGTGAATTGCAGAATATTCTGACATCGGTGATTCAACGTTGGTGTGTGAGTATTGCGGTGCTTTGTTTTGGTTTGACGAACGTGTTATATCCACATCAACCAAAGATGTTCCAAAATACTCATTATGTTGTAGTCAAAAAAAGGTTGTGCTCCCTTTTATGAAAGAGCCACCTTTGTTGTTGACTCAATTGATTGAGGGTGCAGATGAACGAAGTAAACATTTCTTAGAGAACATAAGATCTTACAACAGTATGTTTTCATTTACATCAATGGGTGGTAGGGTGGAAGGAAATGTCAATCGGGGTAGATCTCCTCCCATTTTTAAATTGCATGGCCAAAATTATCATCTGATTGGTAGTTTGTTACCTCCTCCCGGTGCGAGGCCTAAATTTGCACAGCTATATATATATGACACAGAGAATGAGGTTCAGAACAGATTTTCATCTGTGAGGTGCGCCACATTTCTGTGTGTTATTGTGATTCCAATGAATATTTAAAAATTGACCACGCTATTTTTACACCTTTAATGTAGTGACAGTCGTGATAAGAGGAAGTTGCATGAGGGAATAATTGTTGGATTGACTCAAATGCTCAACGAACATAACGTTTTGGTAAAGTCGTTTCGGCTTGCTAAAGAGTTGATTGAAACAAACGGTGTCACAAATGTGCGGTTGAAGCTTATAGGCAATCGTTGCGGTGATGCCCGAACCTACAATTTGCCTTCAGTGTCAGAGGTGGCTGCTTTAGTCGTGGGTGATTTTGATGAATCCCTCGGTGAGCGAGACATATTGGTTCAAACTCAAACTGGAGCACTTCAGAGGATTAACGAGTTACATCCTGCCTATTTTGGTCTTCAATATCCGTTATTGTTTCCTTACGGAGAGGACGGTTATCGTGAGGATACTTTGCTATCAACATCTGATGGTTCTGCGGTTGCTGGTAGAAAAAGAGTGAGTGTTAGGGAGTTTCTTGCATACCGTCTCCAAGAACGACGTGATAATCATTCATCTCTTCTCAGGACCAAGAGACTTTTTCAACAATTTATTGTCGACGGTTATACTTTGGTTGAGTCAGCGAGACTTAAATTTGTTAGGACGCATCAAAAACAACTCCGTTGTGAAATGTATAAGGGTCTGAGTGATGCTTTCTTGCGGGGTGAAAACGATTCTCGCACACAGGGAAAGAGAATTGTTTTGCCTCCTACTTTCACAGGAGGTGCACGATATATGATACAGAATTATCAGGATGCTATGGCTATATGCAGGTGGGCAGGTTATCCGGATCTATTTATTACATTTACCTGTAATCCGAGGTGGCCAGAGATTGATCGTTTCCTCCATTCGAGGGGTCTAAGACCTGAAGATCGCCCTGATATTGTCACTCGAGTATTCAAGATAAAGTTGGACAGTTTGATTCAGGATCTGAGGAAAAAAAAGTCTTTCGGCTGTGTTAGGGGAGGTATGACATTAATATTTTATTCTTTATTTGTGATTTTATTGATAAATTCTTACAATTTGTTTTTCCTTTTTAGTGGTGTACACGATAGAATTCCAGAAACGGGGATTGCCTCATGCACATATTTTGTTGTGGCTATCTGTTGAGGATAAGTTGCCGTCACCTGATGATATTGATAGAGTGATTTCTGCTGAGATTCCAGATGTTAACCAGGATCCGTTGTACTATGCTGCCGTTGCTGATTTTATGATGCATGGCCCTTGCGGCGGTGCAGTTAGGTCCGCGCCTTGCATGGTTGATGGGAAGTGCACCAAATACTTCCCCAAAAAGTGGTGCGTTGAGACGTCGGTCGATGACGACGGTTACCCGGTATATAAACGTGTTCGTAATAATCGTGTGATCCATAAGAATAAAGTGGATTTGGACAATAGGTATGTTGTCCCCCACAATCGATATTTGTTGATGAAATATGGTGCACATATGAATGTAGAGTGGTGTAACCAGTCTAGATCGATAAAGTATCTGTTCAAGTACATTAACAAGGGGCGCGATAGAGTAACAGCAGCCTTTTACAAAACTGTGGATAGTGATACACAGCACAAACCCGTTGATGAGATTCAAATGTATTATGATTGTAGATACATTTCCCCCTGTGAAGCTGCCTGGAGGGTTTATGGTTTTGAGATTCAGTACAAAAATCCGCCGGTGGAGCGATTGAGCTTTCATTTGCCAAATGAGCAATCCGTAGTTTTTAATGATGACCAGCCATTGAACTTGGTTGTTAATTCCACGTCTGTTAAGGATAGTATGTTCACAGCATGGATGGAGGCGAATAAAAAATATCCTGAGGCCAGATCTCTGACGTATGCTGAGTTCCCCCAGAAGTTCGTTTGGAATAAAAAATTGAGGGAATGGACTCCTAGAAAAAAGGCTTTTGCAATTGGTAGAATTTATTATGTCCATCCTGGCAGTGGTGAATCTTATTACATTAGGTGCCTCTTGAATCACATTCGTGGTGCGATGTGTCACGAAGATCTTAGAACCGTGGCTGGTGTAACATATGTTTCATTTCGTGAGGCATGTTATGCATTGGGATTACTAGATGATGATAAGGAATTCATTGATGCCTTTAAGGAAGCCAGCTTTTTCTCTTCAGGCTTTTATATGAGGATTTTATTCGTTATTCTTTTGTGGACGGAGTCAATGTCTCGACCCGAATCTGTATGGCAACATTGCTGGAGGTATATGGCGGATGACATACAGCACACACGAAGGCGAATGTTGCAACATCCAGGTTAAATCCCATGTTGGAGGGAATGTTATCCTTACTTTTATATTTATACTCTATTTATTTCTTTGTTTGTCATGATTTTTTAATTATCTTTGGTTTATCTTTTTGCAGAATTGATTCTTTCTGATGACCAGTTGGAGAAATTTACGTTGGCTGAAATAGAGAAATTGTTGCGAGGTCGCGGAAAGAGTTTACGAGATTACCCTCCGATGCCAACAGTTACATTGGATTCACTGCTTTCTTCCAATGACAGGATGATATACGAAGAGCTGAGCTATGACCGGATCGCAATGGCTGAAGAGCATACAACATTGTTCACTTCCCTGACGGATGAGCAACTGCATGTCTATGAAACGATTATGCATTCCGTGGAAGGGGAGACCGGAGGTGTTTTCTTTGTATACGGATATGGTGGATCCGGAAAAACATTTGTGTGGAAGACGCTTTCTGCCGCCCTTAGGTCTAAGGGTGAGGTCGTCCTCAATGTTGCATCGAGTGGGATTGCTTCCCTGCTTCTTCCCGGCGGGCGAACTGCACATTCTCGATTTGCCATCCCAATTAGTTTGAATGAAGATTCAACGTGCAACATTAAGCAAGGGAGTCCTCTTGCTAGACTTATTGTACGATGCAGACTCATTATTTGGGATGAGGCTCCAATGTTGCACAAATTTTGTTTTGAGGCATTGGACCGCAGCATGAGAGATATTATGCAGTTTCACAAACAAAATAGTGTATCTTTGCCTTACGGTGGAAAGACTGTGGTATTCGGGGGTGACTTTCGCCAAGTCCTCCCTGTAATACCTAATGGGAGCAGACAAGATGTAGTCAATGCCACAATCAATTCCTCTTATTTGTGGTCTAATTGCACCGTTCTTCGTTTGACCAAAAACATGCGTCTGCAGAATTTGACAAGTGAAGATGAATCATATGATTTGAAGAAGTTCTCGGAATGGATTGCGAGTATTGGTGACGGCGTCTTGGGTGAAGAAAATGATGGATTTGTGTCGATTGATATCCCCGATGATCTGTTGATTCACACAAATGGTGATCCTATAGCTGCCATTGTGGAAAGCATCTTCCCCGAGTATTTAGCATCTGCAAATGACATTAGTTGTCTGCGAGATCGTGCAATACTGGCCCCAACACTTGCCGTAGTAGAATCTGTTAATGAATATATGATGGGTCTCAATGTTGGTGAAGTATCCAGGACTTATCTTAGTTCTGATAGTGTGTCGAAAGTAGATTCATCTACCGATCTCATGGCAGAACTGCACACGCCGGAATTCTTGAACAGCATTAAGTTGTCTGGTGTCCCAAATCACAAGTTGACGTTAAAGGTTGGGACACCGGTCATGCTTCTCAGAAATATAGATCATTCAATGGGGTTGTGTAACGGCACTCGACTCATTCTCACCAGGCTTTGCGATCATGTTTTGGAGGGGAAAATTTTGACTGGTTTAAGTGCTGGACAAAAAGTGTTGATTCCTAGATTGTCGTTAACTCCTTCTGATGCCAACTTGCCATTTAGGTTTCAGAGGCGACAGTTCCCCATTATGATTTCATATGCAATGACTATAAATAAAAGTCAAGGTCAATCGTTGTCTCGAGTGGGGTTATTGCTAAAGAGACCGGTGTTTACTCATGGTCAGCTCTATGTAGCGGTTTCAAGAGTGACCAACAGGCGTGGTTTGAAAATACTTATATGCAATGAGAGGGGCACGACGGCTGATTCTACTCAAAATGTGGTTTACAAAGAGGTTTTCAATAACCTTTGACCATGTAATGTTTAGGTTTTAACACTCCGCGAGTCCGCGATGGTCCTTTGCGGAATTGTTTTTCTTCAATTTGTTATTTCATTCCGTGGTTTAATCTTTCCTTGATCTTGAACTCTATACTTGGAATGTTGCTATGTTCCATACAATTGTTTTTGTTATGAAAAGTTCCCTTCGTGCTGATGGTGTGGAAAACAATTTCAAGCAAGATAATATGGGTTAGAAAATCTCCGACCGTGCATTGCACGGGTGAATTACTAGTAAAAGTAAACACAAAATAATATCAAAAGCTAAAACAATCTTAGAAGTAAAAATAAAATACCTAAAAAATCTAAAAAGTATTTAAAAACTATTATATTATTATTAGTATTATTATACGGTAATTATAATTATAATTACAGAAAAATATTATAATTATAATTATAGCTACAATTACAATTAGTGTAATAGGTGTAATTAATATATTTTTAATTATAATAAATATAATTATGATTATATGTAATTATACTTAAATTATTTTTAAGATAAAATTAAAATTTTAATAATTATAATAAATAATTATAATTAAAGAAATATTCAAATCAGATATGAAATATTGAGATTTGATCTGAAGAATTCAGATCAGATTAGAAAAATTCAGGCCAGATTAGAAAGATTCAAATTAGATCAGACTATATCAGAAATTTTCAGATCGGATCAGATAAGAAGTATTCAAATCATATTAGAACTTTAAGAATTTAGAATAGAAATAATCAGATCAGGTGAGGAGAACGACTTCTAAGTCCTATTTTGATAATTTAAATTTTAAATTCCTATGGTTGCAATTATCCTTTTTATTTAGTTATATTTAAGAAAATCTCTAATATACGGAGTATTATTCATTTATTCATAGATTCCTAGTTTTCTAAATATTCCTATTGTTCTTAGCTTAGTTGTACACGAGCAGGATTTAGATTCCTAATCCAACCGGAGATAATATTTCGGATTCCTAATCTTTCAACTATATCAGGTTATCCAACCCGGTCTTCTATATCACTCTGAAGATAAAATCCGTCCTTCACACCGCTAGGCATATTATTCTTGCGTTTCAGCAGGCCATCATCCCAGCAATCCCATCATATACAAATACGAAGTATATATTTTTGGTTAAGGTTCCATGAGGAATTTAGGATTGATAGGCAAAAAAGCATTGCCCGCCGGCAGCAGGAAGGAAGACGAAGAAGAGGAAAGGGCAGGCTGGGGCGATCTAAACGAGGAGCTGTTGTGCTGTATTTTGTCGCGTTTGGATGTGATGGGAGATGAGGTGAGCTTTGAGTGCGTTTGCAAACCATGGAAGTTGGCGGCGGCAAGAAGGATGCCGCCGCCACAGGCGGCGTTAGCATCTCATCACGATTCTCCGCCAGCTTTAGATTCGGCGCCGTATCTGATGTACTTGAACCACAGAACTGGGAGGTTCAATTTCCATGACCCGACTCGCAGAGGTGCCACATATTCAGTACGCATCCCTGAACTATTGGGGGATTACCCGGGCGAGGTTGAATGTTATTATGCCAGCTGCGGTTGGCTGCTTCTTCGCAAGGGCCCCAAGACATACTTCCTTTTTAACCCCTCCACCATGGATAGAATTGACCTTCCTCCAGTACGTGACATGCCCATCTCATTCGAATCCATGTGTTTCTCTGGTTCGCCCACTTCTTCCTCGTGCAGAATTGTTGGCTTTGTCAGTTATGTCCCAGAACAAGTGGCCTTTATTGGAGAAACAATGGTGGGATGTGATTCTTGGTCCGTGTTTGCCAACACTAGCAACCCAGATGACTTCGTGGCATCCATATGCCCCCCCATTGTCTGTGATGGAAGCTTTTATGTTTTGGGTGAATCTGGGAATTTGGGATGCCTCTGGTTTCGACCTCCCAAGAAGGGACTGACTGAGGTTTCTTGGGAAGTTATTGGCAAGCCAGCAGATGAACTGTTTGAGACATTCAAAGATCAATTCCTCCTCGAAAGCGATGGCGACATCATGTGCGTGGCAACTCTACAAGGAGGAGGCAAGGTTTGTGTTCTCAAGCTTGATCCACACACTCAAGTGTGGCAAAAGGTGGATGATCTCCAAGGAAAAGCCTTGTACGTTTCTCAATCCGCATCCTTCTCCCAAAAAGCAGTTTCTAGAGGAACTGGTAACAAGATCTACTTTCCTAGATTCTACAACAATAGAGGACTGTTTTATTGCCTGGGAACCAAGGAGTGGCGCAACTTTCCCCATACTTTTTCAAGTACAAACTATTACAATACCAGTGCCTTACTACATTCTGCCTGGATTGGACTTTCTCCTCATCATAATAGCTAGCTAGTTTAAATCACTTACTGCTCTTGTATAAACATACCACCAAAATTACTTTGTTTCAGATATTTATCTAATTTTATAATTGCTAAATTTGACCGTTAGTGATCCCGAGTATTCATTATGAGCACGTTTAACCAATTAGAAGAAGCAAAAAGGACTGACATGGTTATCTCATTTGTTGCATCTGTGACCTTGCCGTGAACCAAAATGATCAGGTCAGTGGAACAGTGGAACTCTTCTTAGAAGCGTACCAATAGAAAGAACCAGACACTACTTTGTTCCAGTTCAAAACCCCATTATATTTTCTTAATCTTCTTCTTAATAGTGATTTTTTTTACAGAAGTAAATAAGATACTTTACAGGTAGCAATTTAGAATAAAAGAACCAAATCAAACGAAAAACGAATCTCATAGAAATGCTCTGCTAGAGTTGCTTCTTCAGATCCACGTCACGAAGCTTACCTAGAATTTATCCACCCGATTCGAAGTTATTGGGCAGGCATAAAATGTAACAAATATGGAACTAGAGTTATCGCTATCCATCTTCCACAAACACTTGAGTTTTACTATGTCATACGGAGTATTATGTTTTGGAAAAATAGATTCCCTAGAGAGACTTGAATGCTGCTATGTCCTACTATGCTTTAGAAAATAAAGATTTTTTTGCATAGTACTCCTCCATTCTCATTGAATACTCAACAAGGAATCAGTCCAACCTTTTGTAACTCGACGAGAATTTGCAACTCTGAGCTTCATTTTAGAATGTCCTTGGATATTTTTTCAATAACTCAGCAGTTCCGTCATTTTCGTGCTCTCTCAAATCAGTAATGGAAGTCTACATTCCAGAAACACTTGAGTTTTACTATGTGTTATTATGTTTTGGAAAAATTGATTCCCTAGAGAAAATAAAGAATTTGTTTGCATAGTAATCCTCTATTCTCATTGAATACTCAACAAGGAATCAGTCCTACTATGCTTTAGAAAATAAAGAATTTGTTTGCATAGTACTCCTCCATTATCATTGAATACTCAACAAGGAATCAGTCCAATCTCTTGTAACTCAACGAGAATTTGTAACTCTGAGCTTCATTTTAGAATTTCTAAGAACGAGAATGTCCTTGGATATTTTTTCAATCAAAGTTCTTAATTGCGTAACTCTTGATTATTTTTTGTGATCGGATTTATGTTCAACTAATGTTCTTAAAAATAGTTACTCTAAGATAGATTTCTAATTCCGATTTAATTTTTTTTTTCATTTATGATTATAAATAGTTGACTTGGGAATATGGTTTAGAATAGGTTATTGACTTAACGGGTTTTTTTTATAAAAGCGGAATCAACTATTATTAATAAAATCATTGTTCAAATAGGTGGATTATCAAATTAAAACCAGCCACCAGACATAGAAATAGCGCCTAGCTAGTTGCTAGCTAGTTGAAGAGAATCTTATTCAACATCAATGTGATCCCATCCAAGAGAATCTTATAGAAAGTGCTTCAGCCTCCTTAGGGAGATTTTCTCCGGGCTTGTGAATAGCTCCCCCGGCTAGAAACAATCCTTCGTTATCTCTGGCAACCCATCCAAGTCCAATAGCACCAGACCCGCGATGGACAGCTTCGTCAACATTGACCTTATGTCAACCTGCCTCATGTCTGACCCAAAACGAGGCCACTGGAGGCTGGAGCTACCTGTTTAGCCGTTGAACTCCCCACCTGGGCTCGTCGCCAAGCTTCCAGAGAGGAGTTTCAACAGCTGCAATTCTCGCCACAGAAACAGCTATGTTGTTCCACAATTTCTCGTTTCTGCTTCTTCAAATACTCCAGAGATACACGACAAAGCTGCCGCAAAAATTCTCATCCCCGCATCTAAAAATCCTTCTGTCCAGGCCACAAAAGACTGCCCTGCAACTTGTAAGTTCCAATTTAAAGTTCACCATAGTTGTTGAGTCACTGAACACTCCATAAAGAGGTGTTCATCACTTTCATTTTCAACTGTACACAGAACACAAATCGGTGAACAGTTAACTCTTTATTCTCAGTTTATTCGCAGTCGGAAGGCAACCAGAACACAGCTGCCTAAATAAGGCTTTCACTTTTGGAGGTCAATGTAATCTCCGCTTCTGGAGGTCAATGTAATCTTTGTCCAAGCGAAATTCTGTACCACCGCTTCACT